AAATTAATTGCAAAAGTATGATATTGGTTTGGGGACGATACGACAAAGTCGGGGTGCAACGTGAATTTAGCATCCCGAACGAATTTTATTTTTCTTGGCGTAAAAAAATGTGTTGCAATTTTTTTTTTCTGTGTTGCAAATTGTTGCAAATTATTTGCAAAAATATGATATTGGTTTGGGGACGATACGACAAAGTCGGGGTGCAACGTGAATTTGGCGCCCCGAACGAATTTTATTTTTCTTGGCGTAAAAAAATGTGTTGCACATTTTTTTTTCTGTGTTGCAAATTGTTGCAAATTATTTGCAAAAATATGATATTGGTTTGGGGACGATACGACAAAGTCGGGGTGCCAACTTCACGGCGGTTAGAAAACGTCAAATTATATTCCATTAGGGTTATAGACGTTATGAAGAGTAAGGGCCAGTCTGCCGTCTGCGTATATGTAATATTACAAATTATTTATAACAAAAGGACTTGGAAAAATAAAAAGATATTTAAGTTTAAGTTATAAATACTAAATAGTAAATAACAACAGTATTTTGCGGAGACTTGTATAATTTTAATAATGTCACGCAAGTACCTATTAAGTATGTAGCTGGTATAAGATACCTGCACATWAACATTAAATATTTCATATTACAATGTGGTCATTTTCTGTCAATTATATAAAAATATTTAAAAATATTAAAAGAGATTACTATTCCTACTAAAGATTGAAGTTCGGACACTTCGGTGTTAGCTTTTTTAACAGTACCTAAACAATAATAGTTTAAAAAAGGTATAATAGGTACCTATTTATATTTTTGAAAACAATTTTTACGCGTAAATTGACATAATCATTTCAAAACAGCGATTAAAATGTATATTTAATTTTAAAAAAACACACACACACACACACGATTATTGAAGTACAAACATTTTACAATTTTACTGAGCTTTATAAAATCAAAATGTCGAACGAGTATTTCGTTATTATTTTATAACTATATACAGATCTATGTAGATAACGGTTGAGAAGGGTTATCTAGCGCGCTCTACTGGACTTTTTGTGTGGTTTTCGTTGATAACAAAAAAAAAGAAACAACCACAGATATAGATAATAATTATTGACAACAATTATTTCATGATAAAAACGCCGCGTTGTGACGTGATTTTGAATATGTGGACTTTTTAGAATATTTTCATACAAATCATCCAGTTATTGAAGTTTTTACATCATAAGATTGCAATTGTAATGGCATCGATCACTGTCAACAGATTATTGAGCGGAACGATCAAACGGGTGTGCAAAAGGTAAATATTTAKGYTTTGTACATGCATTTTATTGTTAAATAGTTTTTAATAATAATAGGATCGTGTGTGTGGTTAGAAGCGATTAGTAATCAAGGTTTTGAATTTCTAATGATGAATAGAAGTACGATTTGTCTGTTCGATGTCGATGGAACAGTCACAGATCCTAGACAGGTATGATATCACCAAATTATTCATTATGTTGTGCTGATTCTTAACATTTCAAACTTTTTGTAGCCAATAGATCCATCTGTGAGGACGTACATGATTGAGGAGCTCAAGAAAAAAACATTCATTGGATTGGTGAGTGGTTCAGATATATCAAAGATAGATGAACAGCTTGGAGGCCCAGAATGTAAGTGTGCTAATGTCTGTTCCACTTGTGAAAAATAACATAACAATTAACTTGTTTTATATTTGTTCAGATACAGCTCAATTTGACTATGTATTCGCAGAAAACGGCCTAGTTGCGTTCAAGAATGGCGCAGTGTTAAAGAAACAAGTATGTTAACCTATTATGACACAACCTAGTAAAGAAATGTATTCATGTTTTAAATACTTTTGTACTTGTCCATTACTTGCTGTTATATTATAATTTAGCTTAACTATTTTAAAATGATTAAATTWAATTTAATAGTTTGTAGATACACAATGGTTAATAGGGAAATTATTATAACTTTGTTTGTGAATTGCATTGTTTGAGATTTGAAACAATAGCCAATAACCATTTGTTTATATAATTTTTACTATGTGGTGTAGGCATCAAAGTTACTTGTGGAAACTATAAACTACTGTCTACACACTTTGAAAACAATTATAATAATTCATAAAATGTTGGTATTCAATTTTTTATAAATATAAGTACCAAAATACTGGTATTCATGTCATATGCGGTCTACCGGACATTTTTCGTCTACGGTCTACCATATAGTTAAAAATATGAATGAATACACAAATGTAGAATTACATTATATTTATTTATGTAGAATTTCAATATAATATTTAATAATACGAAAAAATATATAAAAATATGTAGATAAATTTAATTTTTATATTATGTATTAAAAACTAACTGACTAAAAATGTAAAAATTTATAAAAATATGCATTAATTCATTATTATATGTAGGTAAATTTAATTAGTATATGTATTAAAAACTAACTGACAAAAATGTA